AATTGGCCCATGACATTTAATTGAAAGCCAGCATTGGTTAATCAATGCGAAAAAAAAAACATTTTGCGCACTCAAAACTGTTTTTCAGCAATAATGCAGCAGATAATATTCCCATAGGTAATTGGGAAACGAATAGTATTGCAGTCACCTATATCTGCAGACCACCCCACAACTGCAATCGAACTCGGGACCTCATGCACGTGAAACAGATGTCTTACCCTTTATACCGCAGCACCTTTTTTATTGCCTGTGTACATACAACATTCGCAAATAAATGTACATCAAATAAAGGACAATCATGAACAAAACAAAAGAAATAAAAAGAGTCAAGCTTAACAGGCTTTCTAAAATTTATTCATCTGTCGAAGGATTTCTATTTGATGAAGCCATTCGGGCACCTCTCATTGAACCTTTTGTGATTCCACGAATGAACAGACAGATGGAAAGAAGTATTGCCTAACCAGACATGCATTAACATCAGCATGGCACGCCGCAATTCTAGATTGCCATATATTGTGCTGGCCCAGTAACATAACTAGGCCCAGAGGTATTCCTTCTTTTTTGATACTGGTAGAAATCTGACGCCGTGGGCATCAAGAGGCAGACTGCTAGGATGTAGTCTTTTCCTGGGATGTTCTCCAAAGGACTTTGAAAAAAGGATCTTGTACTACAGCGCCACCGCATGAAGGCGAGACTTTTTGCGGATATATATCTACCAAAAGGCTCTTGGCAAACAGTCGGCGGAACTTTTGAACTTTTTTGAGCCATATGTGTTTGTTTGCGCATGTATTTGATTAGCGAATAAATAGTATGTAGGGTTCCATGAACTCGAGACAACACCGGTGAGCGCTTTCGGCTTCGACTTCGGTTCGTAATGGGCCCTTCGCCCTTCTGCAAGAACGATTAACGTGTGATCGTACATCGTTTTAGTCCTTCCCCGTGAACCGCGGGTGTTTCGCTCACCGAAATTCGCGGATACCAGAGCGACGATGCTGTGTTCGGCTGTAGAAACCCACCTATGTTTTTCGCACGTGCGTGTGCTGGAAGCAATATCACTTATTTGTGTCGCGAGGTACACGCGTGTCAGCGACATCAGCCTATTATTAGCTGTTTGAAGACAATGCACTTACGCACGTAAACGTAGCATGGGTATTTTAGCCTGCCTACTCTAACATTTGCATTTCGTACGCGCGAACTGCTGCGAGCAGCATGCTGCATGGGGCAGCAGCGTCTTTTTGGGATTTCGACAATTACTTACTTCCGCAATTAGAATTTATGTGCAATATTTTGCGATATGGGGTGGTTTTTACTAACTTTCAGTCTTTAACTGGTCTTATTTATGGGAAGTGGCAACTCTTACCTTTATTCAGCATAACACCGCTGTTCAAGTGAATGCCGAAAGGCGCACAAGGTCAAGTATGACATACAGAAATTAGCGGTGGACAGATAGGGCACCCTCCAAATAAATATTCTTCTGCACTTGTCTTTGGCGAACGTCCGCGTGCCGTCAGGGTCCAGAAATGGTGCAGAACGAACCTCAAATCTTTATTGTTACTGCTAGCAGTTGCTCTTTAGAAAATGGTAATTTTTATAGCTGGTACATTATCTCCACGGCAGTACACTGGTTGTCTTGGTTGTGGTTCACTGTTGTAAATCTATGCTGGAGTATGAGAACTGTACTTAATATTCAAAAGAGTGAGCAAATGTCACTGGCAAACGCTCTCCTGCTGACTTCTACACCTGACTTCTGTATAGGTGATGTTCATCATGAAATTATGCAACCATTATTCAAGAATCAACAAACCGATTTTCAATTTTGATCTTTCTCTGTCTCGCTGCCTTCCGTTTGTTTCTTTTTTGCCATGCTTTCCTAAAATCATTACTTCAATTTGTTTTGTAGAACACGAGCATCAACATATAGGCCAGTGATTCAGTATAACCACGCATGCACTTTAGTGCGGCCGCGCCACGAACACGAAACTTCTCAGCTTCCGCGGCTCTCGCCTCTGTTTTCTTTTTCTTTTTCCCCCCCTCCATCAAGCGCCCGCGCAAGAGAACATGAGAGGGCGCGCGTCTCAATTTTTCTTATGAAATAATGCTTGCAAAATATTTCGTCCATGGTTTCTTGACAGAACTGAGACAATAAAAATTGTAATCCAAAGTGCACAACAGAATTACTGTTTAGGAAGTATTTCGTCCATAATTTTTCGATAGAAAAGACACAATAAAATTTCTATTGTTAGGTGCTCAACAGAAATTTTGTTTACGAAATACTTCCTCAATGGCATTTTAATAGAAGTGGGTCAACGACGTTTTTATTGAAAAATGCTCAAGAGAAATATTGTCGACGAAGTATTGAACCAATTCAATGAGTATTGCGGAACTATTGATGATCAATAGCGTGAATCATTCGATCACAGCCCGACAATGGAAAATCAACAGTCATTTTCATAAGGGACCAGTACATAAAAGGTATTTATACAGCTGAATTACGCTACATGACACATATCTATCTATCTATCTATCTATCTATCTATCTATCTATCTATCTATCTATCTATCTATCTATCTATCTATCTATCTATCTATCTATCTATCTATCTATCTATCTATCTATCTATCTATCTATCTATCTATCTATCTATCTATGACTTTTAGCTCTCCTGGCCGTTTCGATAATGGTATCGATGCCCAACTTGCAATAGCATAATACGGATGGTTGAAGAAGATATTTGAATAGTAATCACATGAAAATCACGAGAAGTAACCTCGCCGCGGTGGTCTAGTGGCTAAGATACTCGGCTGCTGACCCGCAGGTCGCGGGCTCGAATCCCGGCTGCGGCGGCTGCATTCTCGATGCTGGCGGAAATGTTGTAGGCCCGTGTGCTCAGATTTGGGTGCACGTTAACGAACCCCAGGTGGTCGTAATTTCCGGAGCCCTCCACTACAGCGTCTCTCATAATCATATGGCGGTTTTGGGACGTTAAACCCCACATATACAATCACGAGAAGTATGTCATGAATGTCATAATTTACATTTCTTGATCCTGCAGTTCTTGCGGTGGTTTCGTTCACATGGCATGTTGCGAAACTAGTATGGTATAGCATGATTGCATGGCGAACACACGCGACAAACCCAACCAAAAACATCATGACCTGCTTGTCATGTACCAACGTGACTATATGCCACACTGATGATGCACTCGCGGCCGTTTCGCTAGGTTCAATGATGCTAAATCAGGTATTAGGTGACGCCAATTGATTACGAAGGTATGTGACTGGTGCAAACATGATAATCATGAGGTGTGTGTCGTGTGAGAAGACGACTACATGCCTTAGTAAAGGCACCAATATATTTCGACGTGACGCGGTGCGCGTGCTCGCCGGCGTTCATTTCGTCGCGTGACGCTGGCGTTGCCCCGCCAGGCGCCGGTCCTGCCATGCACTCGCAGGCGCGCGCCGCACTGCGTTGCTTTGACGCATGCTCGTTTCAGAACATCCGGCGTCCTTCCGTCACGAAAAGAGGGAGACGCAGTGTTGTCTGGGTAACGCATCGGCGCGAAATGAAGCATGTCGCATTTCACGCTGGTTGCCGTTGCGCCGCGCCGACGGACGCTGATCGCGCCTGGCGTCAGACGATAGAGTGCTCACGTTTCACAAACGTAGCGTCCCAGTTCCCAGCGTGCGCGCGCGCGTCAACGTCATATTGGAGTATATTGGGTCCTTCATGGTGTGCTCGCGCCCGTTTCGCTATCTCCACATATACCAAATTTGGCTTACGTGACGTGAATGGATGACGATATATATGACTGGTGCAAACATGAGAATCCTGACACGAATGGCATGTAAGAACATGACAACATACCACGCTCATAGCGTGCTCGCAACCACTTCGCTAGATCAACATATAATAAGTATGGTATCACGTGACGTGAGTACTTGGCGAAAGTCAACGAAATATCCAAAGATGATAATCATAACACGGAAGTCATGTACGGCATTATGTATCTCCACTTCACAACGTTGTGTTGATTTTAAAGTGACATATCAACATTTCTCATTCGTACTTCTCATATCATTGATTCCCACTGTAGGTGGGATATGCTAATTTTTTCTTTACGCTCCTTGAACTTATTTCTACAGCTGTTTCTAAGGCGATCAATTTTACGGTTTTTTCGAAGCCTCTCCAGCGCTCATTCCATCCTCTTTGACAGTTTTGCTTTGTTTTACCAATTTTTGTCACCAATTTTATAAATTTGTCATCCTTTCAGAGCCTCAAGCTTAATTTCCACGTCTCCCATTTTATTTTTGCTTTTTTGGTGATCTTTTTTTTCTAGTGCAAAACAACCAAAGAATGATCACTGAATCTGATGTTCAGCTCATTGTAGTCGTTACACAGTGTGACGATTTCTTGAGACACATAAGCTCTATCTCACATTGCATGGCTAATGCCCTGAAAATGTGCTTAATGCCGATACTGTCCACCAGTCGTATAGTATGAATTATCCTCAACGTGAGATTTTCCTATTGTCTTTTTCAGAAACGCTATACGCTCTTATCTTCTCACCTTCCCTCACGCGCGTGATCCTCCGAGCACAAAACACAGTTAAGTCGCCTAACATAATCAAACATCTATGAGTTTGCACGTATTGCGATATTTCATTAAATAAATTAAGCCACTCATTAACGTTTGTTGTTGCGTTCACATACAATGTTTGGAATCGCTGATCGTCGTATGAGCAATCACACGGCACAAATTGCGATAACTTATAACGGTTTCTACGACTGACCTGAACCTTTTTTTTTTAATTACACAGCAACAGGCCGTTGTTCCGACACCATAGGAAACGCATACGTCATAGCGGTCACTCAACTGTGCCACCATACCGTCGATTAAACTTGCATTTTTTAAACTGTTACTATAACCACATAAACTGTTACTACGTTCGCATAACATTGCTGAATAACTTGCCTTTCTTAGAAAGCGCGAGAACACTCGCCTGTTGAGCAACATGGGCATGGAGACGTAGTATACTGTGGCGTTGCTATGTCGTGCTACGATGGTGCTAGCCAAGCATGTCTTGCCGGTCACAGAAGGCCCGTACAGAAGCACCTTGCGAACAGGACGTCGCTCGGGCGACCGGGAACGGTGCTCTGAACGGGTGGCCACGAGACCTGCTAAACGTAGCACCTGGGTAAGGTAAAGTGCATGTATGATATTGTAGCAATAAGTAGCATGGTCATTCATTTGTCTTCATAATAATAATATATTTGTTGGGGCTTACTGTCCTAAAACCGCTACATGAATATAAGACACTGTAGTAGAGGGCTTCGCAAACTTTGACAACCTAGCATGGCACAGCTAGGTGCTGTGACATGAGGTCTCGCAAGTTTCTGATGTATCCATTAGCATCCACTAAACATGCAGAATTTGAATCTACCTCAGCCATTACAACTACATTTCTGCATTCTCATTCTTCCGGTTCGTGATGAATACTGAAAACAAGTTTCAGATATGATAGTTCTGTGCAGCAATTATCAACCTAGTGCTGCTCGTTTTAGTCTCTCGCAAAACAGCTTTACCTCGGTACCACTGCATGCGCAATAGATATAGCACTGCCGTTTATGAATAGGCGCTTATAAGGCAGCACGCATCGGCTAGGCCCATGCTGCAGAACGCAAAAATTTGTTGCATTCATCTCAAAAATGAACCCACATGCCCGGATGAAGTTAGTGCAACTGAAAAATTCGGTATTCCGAAGGTCATTTAAGTGATACATTTTTGCATAGAATGCATAGGAAAACAACCAGACATTTTCTAAAAGCTTGTTGTTCTGAAATATTCGTTAAACCAACGTTCATAAGCGATAATTTACTGTAAATTGAATTGATATGAGGTAGTGCATTCCTGAAAGTCAGTGCTTTGGTTAAGCCGAAATAACAATGAAAAATAAAGTTGCTTGCTTTATAGCCCTAGAACTTCTAATCTTGATTCAAACCTTGATTTTTAATAATCAGAACTCACTCTAAAAACACGCATGAGAAAAAAGCACATGTTTTTGTCTGAAAACAATTATCATCGTCTATCTTGTGTCCCTTTTTTTTGCACTATCGCACTCTCAGATCACGAATCAGATAGGTGTTGTGTTATCAGTGTGTTATAGTTTTCTCTGTAGGAAAGTGCCCAGCTACGAGCTTTCGAGAAAGGAAGCGCAAGCAGGCTGGATGAAGATCATTATTAAGAAACAAAACACGTTCATTTCACTCAATCTTTTGTTACAGTGCTGTTCACACACTGATATGCCGTGGGAGATGTTTAGTGCGTCTTTTGATACTTAAAAAGAAAAAGATCGGAGGTGAGTATTCATCGGCACAGTGCAGTGTCCCTTATGGTAAAGATTTTGGTAACGAAATGAGTTACTGCTTTGCCCTTACTGAGAAGTGTGTCCATAAGTATTTATATATAATTTCTGCATTTTCCAGGGGTACATAGGGAAACATGCTAAATAGTAGAAACTTTTTGTTACACGTATAGCATTGTCTGGCAAGTAAAATTATCTTGTTATAACAGCCTTTGTAAACAGGCTCTGTTATTCGCTAAAGTACGACACTCAATTAAAAGAAATTCTCTTTAAATAACCCAAACTGTGTTAATTATGTAAACTGAGACAGCGCAAATGTCTTTAAGCTAATGTTAGTAACTACTTAAAAATTACAACGCAGTGTGAATGACAAAGATTTATAAAGATGTTAAATTTAGAACAACATGCTTAGTAACAGTCGGAAAAATACTTTATGCTCAAAGTATGCCCTATGCCAAAATGAAGCACTGCGAAGAACTTTAAATTCACCTTTGCAAATACCTATATATGTGCAGGGGGATAAAAACAGAATAAGTATCAAAGTCAGACGCCCACATAACTATCAATAAATAATAAAACTTTATGTCAACGCAGAAAGCATTAATCTTTGCATTGTAAATCTGAGGCCGTTTCGTTTCTACACAGGTGCACTTAGAAGAAATTTACGATGCCTGTACCCCGGGTTATCACGCTTCGATTTATAATTGTGCTTTGCATGATTACCCAAGCAAGGCCAAGTTGTTAGGCGCAATGCGCCTATCTGAGTAAATGCTGTCATGTTTGTTTACGCTTTCGACCCATTGTTAGATTAAACGCCACACGTAACTGCCGCATCACATAGAGAACGTGGTGCTTGTTTTTCAGAGAGAATTTTGAATAAAGGTAAACAAGGAATCTTTCCAATGATGCAGGAAATTTTGAGGATGGTTAAGTTTACTAATCAGGGCCACTTTATAGCAGTTAGTGTGCGCCTTCGCCTTCTGCAATTGCTTCTGGCACAGGCAACACGCAAGCATAGGCCTTCAGATTAGTTTGGTATTTATGCGAAACGCCTTCTAGTTTGTTTCTTGTGTGGACTCCAAGCACACTATTTGCGATGTACATAGAGCACATGAGTTGAGAAAATTATGCTTTTGTTTAGAAGGAGCAGAGGCGTTAGTCTGATTTCATTAGTCGCAAACCCGCCACACACATGCGTTTACATGGCGTTCGTGTGTGACGTGGCCCACACAAATTAGAACTAATGTGCAGGGAAACAAGCTGAAAATTCCGTCAGCGTGTGCTGAAAAAAATGCCTGAAATAGGAAATTTTCATGCCTCGCATTGGGAATTATTCGGCGTAGCATACAGAACATCGCCAAAGCAGTAGAAGTTTTGCGCCCCGCCGCGGTGGTCTAGTGGCTAAGGTATACTCGGCTTCTGACCAGCAGGTCACGGGATTGAACCCCGGCTGCGGCGGCTACATTTCCGATGGAGGCGGAAATGTTGTAGGCCCGTGTGCTCAGATTTGGGTGCACGTTCAAGAACCCCAGGTGATCGAAATTTCCAGAACCCTTCACTACAGCGTCTCTCATATTAATATACTGGTTTTGGGACATTAAACCACACATATCCATCAATCAGGAGAAGCTTTGCTCCAGATCTCACTGTACTGCATGCATAATCTTGAAAACTGCGAATAAACTTCTGCGCACGATATCTCGGAGCACTGACAAGCTACGATAATTCTTTTAACTGTATGCTTGTGTACAAATGCGAGTGTCTCTAACTTTACAATACAAACGTGCCCGCTTGCTGCACTCACAAAGTAGTGCATTACGTTAATTGCATGGCTAAAATCACTAGTGATTGACTCAAATTGTGTTCCCTGAATACAAAGCGAAGTTGCAAAGATGTTTTTCTCGAGTGTGCTAGTAGTCACTTTTCTGAAAACCGTAAAGAATAATTTTGAACAACCTGTATAGATCTATGCACAATCTTATTGCCCAAATAACCTGTTTTAACAAAGCTCGTAATTGACTTGAAAACACATAACATATTTGCCTTTAAATATTTGGTTTATAACTTCGTGGGCTAAACGTCACATACAGCATGGAGAACTGCGTAAGTGGAAAAGGATTCATAGCTGGTATATTCAAAATGAACTTTTTCATCCAAGCGAAAATGATGGCATAATTTTTTCACTGCTCGTACACTGTTTGTATTGAACAAAGTAAGAGAATTGATTAATGCAACATTGTGAATTAAGGCCATGGCTAACTGCATTCTCTATGAAGGCAAAAATGCTTCAGGGCCCTGAGCGTGCATTTAGAGCATTTAAAAAGCCCTAGATGGTTGAAATTTCTGGAGGCTTCCTTTATGGCGTTTCTCACAGTGACGTGATGATTCTGCGACGTTAAACCACATTTAATAATGCGACAGCTTACCTTGGGGACAAGCTCGACCAGCCCGGTGTCACTGCAGGGCCCGAAAGATGACTTGCCGAGCACGAGCACGCCCTCCAAGTGACAGATCATCTCACTGCGGTAAAAGAATAACAGCCGGACACTAAGACACTTCTCAAAATTACTGTATACTTTCTTTAAAATCACAATTCTGTGTTGGGATATGAATGAACTTTGTCAGACGCATACATGAGAAATGATATTGGAGCTAAAGTAGCCCGGTATTTAGCAATGGTTCCTTTACTTTCTTTTTGCCCATGTCATTGCCAGGATGACTTCCCTCATGGTTACTACATGGCACGTTTGAGCAATGTATTTGAGTAGAAAAGTATGACCTGCCAAGGTGAGCTAGTGTAACCACTTGAACGCTGACCCGAACTTCGCCTGATCAAATGTCGGTCGGGGCGGCCACGTTATCCACCACGTGATTTAGGACCACCTTTTGAGAGATAGACTCGACGTGGCTCTAAGCTCCATGCTTCCGTGGATATTCTCCGCCAATGAATGCCGCTTTCGGATCCAGGGAAGCTGTCTAAACACTACAATGATTCTCATAAAGATTGGTACTTTGAAAAATCCTGTAAACTGCAATGCTTGTGTAGCGTTTTTTTTTTTTACAGTGAAAGCTGTTATGAGCCTGAGATCCCAACTAGGGTCGCGTGCACTGCCGCCGGTGTTCGTAACCACTACCGCACGAAAGCGAAAAGAATGTTAAAAAAATAGGTAACTGAGGACACAATAGGATTCGAACTCCGTAACCTTGTATGCCAGCACAGTATTTTACTACAGAACCTAGCCAGTGCTTCGAACTCCTTTAGAAAGTGGCTTAAGCTGGCTTCATATCGAGAGAGAAATGGCGGTAATATGAGAAATAAGACGTTTTAGAACATGAAAGGAAAACCAGGCGTCACAGTATGAGAGTCCAGTAAAGAGGAGTCGTTGAATGGTCAAACCCTATACAAAAGCTTTAGGCATTCGCTCACTACGTTGACGAATGGTTCTGCATTGTCAAAAAGAAATGCTCTATGGCTCCTGCGTCTTTTCATCTCTATAGAACCTGCCACACAGTTCACTATTGAATATCAATTCGACAGCAAGTTTCCTTTCTTCGATGCCCAGGTGAGCCGTACCGTGACTAGCCTTTCCTCTGCTGTGCACAGGAAAGAAACGCATACCGAACACTACCTGAATATCAATTCGTGCCACTCAGCCTGCCCCAAGCAATCCGTTGTTTCTTGTCTAGTGACGCAGAGAGCACATACTTGCTCAAGTGACGATGCAATGAGAGAACAGTTCCGAACAGTACACCGAGAAATCATGCCGAACGGGCACCCGAAGAATTTTATTAGGAATGTCGGAGACCGTGTCTTCCATTCCATCCCAGGGCAGGTCGTTTTGAAGGCGTGCCTGCGTCCCACGTGTTACTGGGCTCCGCGAAACACTGAGCCGTAGTTTTTCAAGACATGACAATCTCGTTGCGCACATGCCATCAAATAAACTTAGGAATCAGCTTGTGAACACGAAGAACAGCTTAGACAGCAAGCGATTCCCCGGTGTTGTCTATAGGGGGCTACGCGCAGACTACAGCTGCAGTTACAAAGGCGAATCGGCTATTTAATCAGGACAATAAAAGAACATCGGCTACAACAAGAAAGTGCCAAACCAATGCCACCTAAATAATTTTACGCCTGCTCGTTTTGTCTATCGTAGGCTCTGACGTCAGGCTGTTTAGAACAGTGTGTTTCGCTGCACAGAAGTGCCTACGCTTGCTCTCGTCGATCAACAGACATGGATTGCCAAGCCCAATGAACCTTTTCTCTTGTTTTGTGGCGGGCTGGTGTGCTTGTTGGTAACTCGGCTGTTTTTTTTTTCCTGTGTCCGTGAACTGTGGCGTAAATATTTGATGAGCTTTGTGCAATGAATATACCTAATCTCTATAGCTGGAAATCCGATCGGTTATGCTGCATGACGAATTGTCGCGGGAAGGGGACCGAAGTTGTGAGTGTTCTCGTTTACTTAAGAAAAACCGAAGAAAAAGACGGGAGCGTGCCGTTTGTCAAGCGGACATAGACATTCATTTTCTTCGTGACGCAGAGGTACGTGTGTCCGTACTACACGTTTCTAAGTCGTTGAATGGCTTCATGTTCATCATATTCCGTTCTTGCTCTAAAATAGAAGTGTCATGTGTGCTTCTGAATTGTTGGCGTTAGACTAATGGTTCAGCTAGCTTGTAAGCGTTGCCTATGTTTTGTCAATGAAGTTGAGATTTATTGACTAATTGTAAACCAGAAATAAGGAACAAAAAACAGTGGTGAGCCATGGTCGTCATGGGTATGCATTCCTTACTTGTGTTGGTGTGTTTTCTTTTCTGCGCTGCGAATATAATACAAGTAGTGCTTTTGGCGCTTTAGAATAGCTGCACTGAGCAGGTATTGACAAGGTAGACGAGCCGACACCAAACAGCGGAGGAGCAGACGACGCCACGGGAATGAATGCCTCTTGAGGGGTGTTTGCCTCGCCTATTGGAAAACAAGCCCTGCAGCTTCCACAGTGCTCCAAACATGCATCAACCTCGTTGCGTTTGGTACGTTCTGCCTACAGCGACATACGACACTTGAAAACTCTACTTTAGGCCACGGAGGAAATAAAAAAGGAGAGGGCATTAAGTCATTTAATCAAAGCGCATCGTGTCAACCCAACACGTGACAGAAAAATTTGAGTGCGCGGTAGGTTTTCGTAGTTACAATCTTTATTTATTTAATTTTTATTTATTCAGTTACTTACAATGCTGAAAGTGATTTATTATAGATGAAAAACAAAATAAGGGGTGACCACGAGAGAACCCAAGCGTGAGCGCCAGGCAGATAGATACGCTCAAATTCGCTGAACTTCGCTAAGAAATGCTTCACTTTAAAAGGGTACATTATAGGTACAATACAACAGCAAGAGCTAACATAACAATTTCCGCATTACGTTTAAGATTACAGATGACATGCCACACACACACACACATATATGTATATATATATATATATATACATAAATTTATATATATATATATATATATATATATATATATATATATATATATATATATATATATATATATATATATATATATATATATATATATATATATATATATATATATATATATATATATAAGGGAAAGAAGTGTATACCTAAGGGCTCGTTTTTCCGTGTTTTAACACAATATTAATGAGATATAACAGACAGTAATGCCAAGGAATGTACAGGGGAAGTTGTTAAAACCAATTGAATGTAAATAAGAAGAAAGAAAAGTGGATGAAAAAATTACCAACTGTGAGCAGGAATCGATCCTATGACCTTCGAATTACGCGTTCGATGCTATATATATATATTGAAAAAGGGTTTATTGGCGACTGTTGTGACGGTGGTCCTACGACGAAACACGATCGGACAAGAGCAACGGTCAAGCAGATGCCGGCGATGATCAGCACGAGCCGAGCGAGACAAGCCCAGCACCCAGTACCCAAGCGACGGTGGCGATGTTGCTTGCCAACAATGCGTTTTCTTCTTCACAATTTGCCCCCGCCAAAAAAGAGCTATCCTGGCGACCTAAGAGTCTGGAGGCAGAGGGCTATGATATGGCTTAAGGCGGGCGACGTGGACGATGTCACGTCCACGCCGGCGCATGTCGTCAGATGGGGAAAGTGGCTCGATGAGAAAATTCACCGGCGAGGTTTGCTCCAAAACGCGGTATGGGCCCTCGTACTTTGGAACGAGTTTTGAGGAAAGGCCGGGGGTTTGGTAAGGAACAGCCAGCCATACAAGTGATCCCGGGGAATAGCTGGGGCTTTGGGAAGAGTCGACGTTGTTTTCTTTCTGGCGCTGTTGTTCTTGTGACGTAAAGGTGCGTGCGAGTTCACGGCAATCTTCCGCATTTCGGGCAGCTTCGGACACAGATGGGCATTCGGATGCGTCAGGACGGTATGGAAGGAGAGTGTCGATGGTGTGAGATGGTTCGCGTCCATAAAGAAGAAAGAAAGGTGAAAATCCAGTGGTAGACTGTGTCGCGGTGTTATATGCGAACGTGATGAATGGAAGAATGCGATCCCAGTTAGTATGATCGGATGTCACATACATGGCGAGCATATCGCCAAGGGTGCGGTTAAATCTTTCCGTGAGCCCGTTAGTCTGCGGGTGGTATGCGGTGGTCTTGCGATGAACAACATGGCATTCAGAAAGCAGAGACGTGACGACTTCTGATAGGAAGGCTCTACCTCGGTCGCTTAGTAGTTCTCGAGGTGCACCATGTCGTAGTATGAAGCGATGAAGGATGAAGGATGCTACGTCCCGCGCAGTGGCACTTGGAAGGGCGGCGGTCTCAGCGTAACGTGTTAAATGGTCCACAGCGACTATTATCCACCGATTTTCATCTGATGTTGTCGGTAGAGGGCCATAGAGATCGATTCCGATCCGATCGAAAGGTTTGGCAGGGCACGGAAGCGGTTGAAGCGCACCGGACGAGTGGAAAGGCGGTGATTTGCGGCGTTGACAGTCAGGGCAGCCCATAACGAATTTTCGAACGAAATTATACATTCCGCGCCAGTAGAAGCGATGGCGAATGCGTTCGTAAGTTTTGAAAACTCCGGCATGACCACATTGGGGATCATCGTGAAAGGAGGCGCAGATTTGTGATCGCAAGCTGCGTGGGACAACCAAGAGCCACTTACGACCTTCGGGGGCGTAGTTGCGTCGGTGTAGCAGCCGATCACGAATGGCGAAATGTGCAGCTTGACGTCGGAGAGATCGTGGTACTGCAGTGGTTGACGATCCAGAGAGACAGTTAAAAAGGGAAGCGATCCACGGGTCCTTGTGTTGTTCACTGGTAAAGGAGTCGAGGTCGAGAGAGGCGACGGAGTTGGTACCAGTGGTTCCGCAGACCGAGTCGGGAGGTAAAGGCGAACGCGACAGGGCGTCGGCGTCAGAATGCTTGCGTCCGCTGCGATAGATGACACGAATGTCGTACTCCTGGATTTGCAGTGCCCACCGAGCTAGGCGGCCAGAAGGATCTTTCAATGTGGCGAGCCA